ACATAGATGTATGTTAAACCAAGCTGGCTATATTAAGAAGAACACAGCAACAGCATTGAAAGAAGATATGTTAACAACCTGCAATAAGCAGATGATACAAACTTGCTTGCTGAAAGTGAAGAGGATGTGAAGCACTTACTGATGAAGATCAAAAACTACAGCCTTCAATATGGATTATATCTCCACATAAAGAAAATAAAAAAATTCTTACAACTGGCCAATAAGCAACAATAAGAAAATATTGGCATGGCCAAGTATTTCATTTTACTTGGATCATAGTCAATGTCCATGAAAACAGCAATCAAGAAATCAAATAATGTATCTCAGTGGGGAAATCTGCTGCAAAGACCGCTTTAAAGTGTTAAAAAGCAAAGAGGTCACTTTGAGGACTAAAGTGTGCCTGATCCAAGCTATGGTATTTTCAATCACCTCATATGCATGCAAAAGCTGGACAATGAATAAAGAAGCCTGAAGAAGAATTGATACATTTGAATTATTATGTTGGCAAAGAATATCCAATCGACTGCCTGAAAAATGAATGAATCTGTCTTAGAAGAAATACAGCCGGAATACTGCTTAGGAGAGAGGATAGTGAGACGTTGTCTCAAGTTCTTTGGACATGTTATCAGAAGGGAGCAGTCCTTGGAGAAGGACATCATTCTTGGTAACATAGGAGGTCATCAAAAAAGAGGAAGACCCTCAATGAGATGGATTGACACAGTGGCTGTAAGAATGGGCTCAAACACAGGAACAATTGTGTGGATGGTACCAGACAGGGCTGCTGTGAATAGGAACTAACACAATGGTACCTAACAACAAGAGTCAAATACATGCACATCAGTGAGTTATTTACACCTACTTGTGCAATGGTTTTGGATTAATGCTAAGAATAGAAAATGGACATGAGGAAGACTTAAAACTGTCAAGCAGATGCAGGAGTTTTTGAACTTCCTGTCAATTCCATTCAGACTGAGAAGACAGCATCAAGTGTTGGGGAGAGAATTATCATTAATGAAAATAAAAACAGGAATAGCTATTGCCATTCATACCTGCTTTATAGTTCTCAAGTGATTTTAATGTGTTTTTTCTTACTTATGTTTCACATTTTCCCTACAAATATCAACTTGACCCCAAATTATGTACCTATAAATTTAAAACTCATATGGAAATACATAGAACGGATGAATAAAGATATTTTTAACCAAATTTTATAATTCTATTATAAGGCAGCCCTTTTTGAAACTTAGATAGAAATTGATGTGGAGATTTTTGAAAATATGATCCAAAATTATTTGATGTTTCTTCTATCCCTCCCTTTGAATCTGCGCTCTGTACCTGCTTTTGTTTTGGCTATTTCTAGATCAAGCTATTTTCTATTTCTTGGAATGTTCACTCTTGAAACCCACACACTATGCTGTGAGGAAGCCCAAGTAATTCACGGAGAGAGTGGCATGAAGAATCGAAGTCCCAAGGCCTCAACATTTGATTCCCCCAGCTGATACCCAGCACCAAATTATCATCCTTGTGAGTTAGCCACTTTAGTATTATATCCTTCAGTCCAAGTTAAGTTGACTGAGAAATGTGCTGTCACACTAAGTCCTGCCCAGATTGCAGATCTATGAGCAATACAACATATTGTTGTTGTTTTAAGTCAATAGACTTGGGGTAGTTTGTTACACAAGTACCAAAAAAAAAAAAAAGAAAGAAACTCACTGCCACTGAGTCGGCTCCAACTCATAGCTACCCCTCCTTGGGTTTCCGAGGCAGTATGTCTAAGGAAGTAGATTGCCCAGCCTTCCTTCTGAGGAGTGGCTGAAGGATTTGAACCACCAGCTTCTGGTTAGCAGGCAAATGCCTTAGGCACTACACCACCAGTTCTCCCTACACAACAGTCAAGAACAAAAGAAAGCAAAGACAAATTATGGTACTTAAAATGTAGTAGTAAAATTTATTTATGTTGGTTTTATCCAGAGAAACCTTCCTTAGTACATAGTATATGGAATGCTTTGATCCAGATTTAGAAATTTTGTATCTTCTCTTACCATTTAGAGTCACAGACATGATCTCCTCTTCTGTGAACATGAATCTTTTTATATAGGCCTTTGGTTTATGGTATTGTACTATATTGTATAATTATCTTGTATTCTTATAGTGCTTCCTTTTTGAGGCCATAGAAAAATGACCACATCCCTGTAGAGGGTGAGAGCTCTATAACTAAATAAATGAAGGTTCTTTCCTGTCAACTGCTGGGAACAGTTGGATTTTTAAGGGAAAAGGATTTGTTGCTGGTGAAGGTGAAAATTCTTGAGTCTCAGGATGTCTCTTTTTGACCCTTAATTTTAAAATGGAAAAATATGTCTAAGCTTAATGTATTTTAAGCTTAATATGCTTAAGCTCTCATTGAAGCCATGTTTTAATGTTGCACCTTGGACTCTTCTATGCCAGGAATACTCAGGAACTCAGCAAGACTTACAGACTGCCTAGACCCAATACTGTAGTAGTGCTGGCAATTTTTACTAAAAACGACTCCTCCAGTAGGAAAGGATAATGGAGGCGGTGAGGCCAACCTGCTACAGACCATAGAGTCCAGGGTCTGAATTTGAATTCAGGACAAGGATCTTTTCATGGCTACCACAGCACAGTCTCCAGCACACAATAGGTGATCAAGGGGAGCCTAAGACACTGAGTGATGAATGCCTTGAAACTGGGGCTCTCGTTTTGCGTTGCCATTTTCTTTCAAGTGTTGCTTGTTTCTTCTAAGTAATTTCAAGCATAGCTCTATGTTGGAGAACATAGAGCAGGTTTATATGGGCACCTTTTTACACACACACGCACACACACACACACAGCTACAGTACACATTTTATGAACCTGAATCATGGCTTATAACGAATATATTTTATGCTATTTCAAAGGAGGCGTTTCTGTCGTATTTACATTGACAGCAGCAGCCAGGGTTTTCAGGGACACGAAGCACCACCTAAACAGAAGCAAGGGTTCCGCGATCTTTCTCTTCGCTCCGCTCCACCCAAGAGCGAGCCAAGGCAGCCTCCCGCATTTGTGCTCAGCGTGTTGCATAGGGCACACCGTCAGTAAGAGGTCAGTTTCCTCAAAGAGTAGCTGCCTCAGACTGGGGTGGGGGTTAAGAAGGAGAGGGCTCAGGCCGCCCAGTGGCTAAGTGCCGGGTGGCGACCTCTGGGGTGACTGCCCCGCTCCGCCCAGTCAAGAATCCCCTCCGGTCCAGCAGTGGCGAGTTCCACATTATACCCTGAGACAATCAGAGGGAATGACAGCTAAATGACCCCTCCGGGGCGGGGCACGCCGGCCGGCCCCGCCCCAGGGGGGTGACACCAGGAGTTACCAAACGAACGCTAGTGACGCTACTGGCCACCCGGGCGCGTCCCCGCCTCGCTAGCCGCGCGCCGCGGCCGGATCTTCTTGAATTTCAACACAAAGGGAATCCTCAGCCGCAGGAAGTGCATCACGAGAAAAGGGAACCGGGGGCGGGGAGAGGGGGATGCCTCCCTCCGTTCTTACACACCCGCCTTTCTCAGGCCCTGGGCGTCCGTGACGAAACCCTCAGGGTCCCCTCCCTATGCCCAGCCAGCTGGGAGAATTCAAATAAGCCCCCCCCCCTCAACAATAGTGGGGAGCGGGATGCTGTCTCAACCACGCCCGAGCTCCCTGGCAGCGGGGGTACTAGCTGCCTCACTCGGCGGCTCAGACACCTGTTCACTTTTCCCCTCCTCTTCTTCCGGGTGCACAAGCACCTGGGCTTGCATTTGTTTTTCTGACCCTGGACTCTCAACTTTCCTTCCACATCTCCCTCCTTCCCAGAGTTTTCTGTCGTACCCTGGCAATTATGCGTAATTCTCCCAGTGTCTTCGTCCACTCCTAAGAACGCGCTCCCAGCATTGGGCAAGTCTTTCCCCGGCAGAACTGTGGAAGAGAGGGAGTCCCCGCGTAAACCAGGGGGAGGTGGCCAGGGAAAGACCACTTTCGTTTCCCGAGACACCTGCAGTTCCAGGGCCTCCGCCAGGTGTGGCAAGCCTCGCTTTGATGGGAGGAGGGAAAGCGGGCTGGGCGATTTGTGCTGAAGCTGTCCTTGCAAGGCAGCCTTACTGTTTTTACTTGTATGTGTTTTGAAAATCAATAAAACACAGTAAACTTTTCTAGAATTTCTTTATTCACATTTCACCAGAACGTGAGAAACCATCAATTGTCTATGTAAAAGGGTGCTATTGGTTTAGTTTGGGATGGCTTTGGGGAGGCAAATCGCAATTTGGGGAGGGGACTTCAGTCCCCCTGTTTTGGCACCCAGAAGGCAGAGGTGGAAAACCTAGGCTCTTTGCACCAGTTCTCCCGCTGAAAAGGCCCAAGTAACTGGGGAGGGAAACCACACTACTAATTCGGGGCTACACTGCTCCGATCTCCCGCACTCGCAATGGCAAGTACTTTGGATGGGGGCCACCTCTCCCAGGGGCCCCCGGCAGTCTCTGCTCCCTTAGGCGCCACTGGGAGGACCCCCCCCCCTCCCAAGTTCAAAGCGGAGGCAGTGTACCTGCCGCGACCTGTCTCCTCCTCTTCCCCAACACCACACCCACGGCACTCCGGGCTCTCCGGGAGAGGGACGGAGCGGGAACAAAGGGGTCTTTGTTCACTGGCTCCTGGGGGGTGGGAGTCGCGCTAGCTCGCTCGCGTTTCCCGGAGACTGGGAGGCTCAGCGCCGCTGAGCCTCGCCCAGCTCCGAATGCAGTCCTCAGAGACCCCAGAGCCTTAGGTCAGGGCGCGGCACTCCCGGCTACCGCGGGGCTCTTTCCGGGCGGGCGAAGCGGGGGGCAAGGCACCGCGAGGAGGCGCCTGGCAGGCACTACCGCCCGCGGAGGGACGGTGGGGGTTTTTGGCAGCTGGCAGAGGTGGAGGGGGCGGGAGAGGGAGGGTGCTCCGGGCTGAGCCTGGAGGTGAGGGGAGGGCTCGGCGAGCGCTCGCGGGGCTGCTTTTGCCTCAGCAGCGGCGGCTGGAACTCCCTCCCTCCTTCCATCCTCCCGCTTCCCTGAATCGGCCCCATCAACACCCTGGGCCCCCCTCTTCTGCCGTCATTACACTCCCCTTCTCCCTTTTTGGCACTTTCCTCTCGAACCATCCTTCCGGACAAACTTTGATGGAGAATTTCACACTAAGCTGGAAAAATGCCGGTTATGAAAGGATTACTGGCGCCCCAGAACACCTTCCTCGACACAATCGCCACCCGTTTTGATGGAACACGTAAGTCTCGCACTTGGACGAGTTGCATGACATTTTTTGATAATGATTTTTCTCGTGTGTATTACTTTTGCTTCCCACCTTCCCACAGAAGTGAATTTCCTTCTGTTCTTGCCTGGATTTCTTTTGCAAAGAGAAATTTTATTTTTCTTTCCATGGTTCTCGTAGTAATAACATTTTGCATTGGTGTAGTTCTCTGTCTTGACTACTTAACGTTTGTAAGGGCAGGAAAAACAGCCTGAAGAAGACCAACGCCAGTGTTCACTATGGGACTTAAATTTTGGCACCTCTTTAGGGAATCGGTTGTGATTTTATGAACTGAAAATGGGTAATTGTCCATATTAGTGTAGTGACAACCTATCCTTCTAGAGTTGTAAGGCTTCCTAGATTATAGGTTCTATTCCTGGGAGTTTGAAATGTTCTTCTTCCGATACAATCCTCTCTCATCTCCCAGGAGGTTGTTCTCAGAAGCATGATTTCCCATCTGAGTTTAACAAAAAGCCAGACCAGAATCAGAACTGCTAAGTGTCAGCTTTCTGTAGAATTCCAAGTGTTTGGAGTTTGACAGAACCTCGACTCCTGCTTTGGAGCTAGATCAGCATAACTCTTTATCCTGAAATTAGCCTATCACCTGAGGAAAGACTGTTTGGGGAATGCAGAGGTGTATATTTTAAAGGCTGATCATAAGATGAAGTTTCGTCGTTATTTATTTATTTATTCTTGAGGACAAAGATTATCAGCCATTTACCTCATTTAGCTACTTTTTTTTTTTTTTTTTTTTTTTTTTTGGAGCCTGTTCGAAATCATCTGCAAGTTGTCTCTTTCAGGACCATGGTCAGGTCCCAGTCCCTTTTCAGTTTTCTCAAGCTATTTGAGTTTGTTACTTTCCCCAGCTGGTTCTTGTGTTGTTGTTGTTGTTTGCCGTCTAGTCGGTTGGAACTCTTAGCGACCCCTCCTTGGGTTTATGAGGCAGTATCACTACAGAAGTAGGATTGCCCAACCTTCCTTCCGAGGAGTGTCTGGTGGGTTTGAACCGCCAGCCTTCTGGTGAGCAGTCAAGTGCCTTAGCCACTATGCTACCAGAGCTCCTTGTTAGATGCCCTCAATCCCTTCCTATTCCTGGCGACCCTGAGTGCAACAGAGCGAAGCACTTCCCGGTCCTAACCATCCTCACAATCCTTCCTATGAGTCCATTGTTGCAGCCACTGTGTCAATTCATCTCCCTGAGGGTCTTCCTCATTTTCACTGACTCTCTACTTTGCCAAGCATGATGTCCTTCTCCAGGGACTGGTCCCTCCTGATAGCATGTCCAAAATATGTGAGACAAGTCTCACCATCCTTGCTCTAAGGAGTATTCTAGCCGTACTTCTTTCAAGACAGATTGGTTTGGTCTTCTGGCTGTCCATGGTGCATTCAATATTATTCACCAAAACCATAATTCAAATGCGTCAATTCTTCTTCACTTCACTTTCCACCTTTTGCATGCATGTGAGGTGATTTAAAATACTATGGCTTGGGTCAGGCAAACTTTAGTCCTCAGAGTAACATCTTGCATTTCAACACTTTAAAGAGATCTTTTGCAGCAGATTTGCCAAATGGAATATACCATTTGATTTCTTCACTGCTGCTTCCATGGGCAGTGACTGTGGAGCCAAGGAAAATGAAATCCTTGACAACTTCAATCTTTTCTCCATTTATCATGATATTGCTTATTGATCCAGTTGTGAGGATTTTTGTTTTCTTTATGTTGAGGATTTGTGTGTGTTTGTGTGTGTTTCATTATGGTGAGACTTGAGAATGTAAACTAAAATATTATAACGAACAGTGCAAGCACCTGGAGTTAGAGAATCAAAAGGCAGGAGCATGCTGAGCACATCTCAAGCTGAAAGAAATGAAGAAAAATTCAATCCTCAAGTTATAATATTAAAGAATTCTATAGGCAAAAAATTGAATGACACAAGAAGAATCAAAAGAAGATGGAAGACGTACACATCCATTTTACCAAGGAGAATTGGTTGATATTCAACCATTTCAGGAAGTAGCTCATGACCAAGAACAGATGTAAGTGGAGGAAGAAGTATAAGGTGAAATGAGGGCACTGATTGGTGAAAAACAAAACTCTAAGAATTTACAGAATACCAACTGAGATGTTTTAACAAATGGACAGAATGCTAGAAGCATTCACTAGTCTATGCCAAGAAAGTTGGAAGACAATTGCCTGGTCAGCCAGCTGGAAGAGATCCATATTAGTGTCCATCACAGACAAAAGTGATCTGAAAGAGTGCAGAAATTATCAAGCAATGTCATTGATATCACACACAAGTAAACTTTTGCTGCTTAGTCAAAATCACCTGCAGCAGGACATCGACAGGGAACTCCCAGAAACTCAAGCTGGATTCAGAATAGCAAGTGGAATTAGGGATATCATTGCTGATGTCAGATGGATTTTGGCTAAAATCAGAGATCACCAAAAGATGTTTACCTGTGTTTTATTGACTATCAAAGACATTTGACTGTGTAGATCGTAACAAATTATGGATAACATTGAGAAAAACAGGAATTCCAGAATATTTCATTGTACTCATGTTGAACCTGTACATAGACCAAGAGGCAAGCATGCCGACAGAATAAGGAGATACTGAATCGTGTAAAATCAGTAAAAGTGTGCATAGGGTTGTACCCTTTCACTGTACTTATTCAATTCAGTGTGCTGAGCAAATAATCTAAGAAGCTGGACTATATGAAGAACACAGCACCAGAATTGGAGGAAGACTCATTAACAACCTGTGAAATGCAGATGATACAACCTTGCTTGCTGAAACTGAAGAGGACTTGAATATCTTCTGTATGGCTTATATATACCCTGTGATTAGGAGTTAGTACTCCCTTTCTGAACAAATGCTCTCAATTGTTTCACTGTGGTTATCCACACCTTCCTCTGTAATTTCATTGTTTCTATGTGTTGTCTTTCCTTTTAATGCCTATTACACAAGACACATGGAAACTCATTTATCTGAGAGATTTTCTTAGTTGATTCAAATATCATCATATTCATGGTGATATTTCTTGGTGCTGCCATGGGAAAGGGCATTTAATTTTGTTTTCAATCCAGTAATCTAGATATACACTCTTATGGTAGGAAGCATGTTCTGTACTTTATGCTTAAGGGATAGTTGGAAAAGTTTACATGAGAGAGAAATGAAGCATTTACTTTGAATTTGTTTAATTTAAATTTTTGACTTCTAGCCTAATCATGGTAGTTGTATGGAAAATTGGTAAAATATTCCAGCATTCCATCTTTAGCTTTAGATGTCTCTCCTTAAATTTCTAGGCATGTCACACTATATGAATGAGATGCAATCATATTAATTATGTATCTATCATCTTTAGATAACAAGAAAAAATATTGTAAGGAAACCCCAAGTTCCTGCCACTATCATCACCACCAAGACCATCACAGTAAACTACTACTAACATCTTTAACCATGAATGATTGTGGGTACTACTATTTGTTACCTGAGGAACTAATCACTTTCATGTGGATGTTTGATCTTAAAGTTACACATTTAAAACAAAAGGTTTTGGACATTCATCCTGAATGCTTCTATTGAACATTAGCTATTTGGAAAATAGTAGTTTCTTATCTCATTGTCATTTAAAGTTGAATGGAGTGTATTGCATAGTGAATCATCCCTGAATGGCTGGGGAATTACTGCAGAAATATATTTTGATATCAGTTGCTAATGAGAGAAGCTTTAAGTCATCAGTGTGAGAACACTTTGGCCTCTCTCTGACTCTTACTATATAGCATTATAAGCAGGAGGGCATGTAGAGACATGTAGAGACACTCATCTGGGTATCCTTGTGAATATCTCTTTTTCTGTAATAGCAAAATATTAATATTAACAAAATGGAATATTTGAAATTTCAAAATCTTGTTTGGGAAGATCATCCTTACCTACCAACATTTGGAATAATAAAGAAGCAAAAACACTATTTGAGACCACGCTTGATCTTTGCTCCACAGAGTTTGGGGAATTCCTGGAGGGAACTAGTTTGTATGAAATCTGACAATCAGTAAAACAAATTTGAAAGTGATGAGTAACCTGGAGACAAATTTGGCATAGATTTTGCTTATAGCATTTACTGAATACTTCTTCCCCTAAAGAAAAACACTCAGTGAAAGTGGATTGTGTTTTCTGATACTGTTTACTTTCAAATTTCAGGATGATGTGAATTATCTAAAACTTAAAAAAAAAGTAACTTAAAGTAATAGCCACAGATTTTTCCATACCTAGAATTATGGACATTTGATTCTTCCAGCTAAATATTTATCTTATTATGTCTCTTTAAATATGTGGATGTAATTTTATTTTGTATAATTACTGTGTGAGAAATTCGTTTCTAATGATCATCTTTCTTTCTCTTCATTTTTATAGCTTTATTGTGCAAATAAAACTAATTGCAAGTTTTAAATATGCAAAATTGCCTCACCCAAGTCAAAAACTGCATTGCAAAGTGAACAATATTATTATACTGTGTTTGATGTGTTAATTTGGTATATTTTCTGCCTTATGCATTAGATATATTATACAGCCATATCTATTTCTTATTTTATTTTTGATAATTCTGATGAAACAATAAAATATGAGAGCAAACTATAACCCTGGCAACCAATCTTGCTACATTAATTTAATGTTCAGTATATATTATTAGCTTTATTAATTTAATATTGGAATGGGAAATAATTAAACAACCTAAAATATCATCTAAAAATTTCCCCAAGAAAAGGAAAAAATAGAGGACAAAGAAAAGCCTATAACAGAATCAGTTCAGTTATTATCACAGGGAAACATAAAATAAGTTAATAATATGGTTTATCTTCTAGTGACACTTTTCTATTTTACATAATCACAATTTATTCCTTTTAGTATTTAAGAAGTGAGTTCTTTGTCAGGTATGAAAAACAATTCTGGATCACTGATTAAAAATTTTTTCTAATA